AACACACACACGCACGCACGCACGCACACACACACACACACACACACACACACACACACACATACGCAGGCGACAGATATCCACATCCAAGTGTGGCCGCACCGCTGGCGTAATAATTCACTGTGCAAGTGATGCAGCAGCCTACTTTTCTTTGCTGGAGCCGGTATAGCTTACAACCAAGGTGGCCTTATAGGCCCTCGTCATATACATACTATATATGTGGCCCCGGCCCCCATCATACACTATTATTACAATTCTATATAGGTGGCCTTAGGCCCCGTCATACAAATACTATATATGTGGCCTTGGGCCCCCATCATACACTATTATATTGCTTTAGACCCCGTCATACAAATACTATATATGTGGCCTTGGGCCCCCAGCATACACTATTATTACAATACTATATAGGTGGCCTTAGGCCCCCGTCATACAAATACTATATATGGCCTTGGGCCCGAAGCATACACTATTATTACAATACTATATAGGTGGCCTTAGGCCCCCGTCATACAAATACTATATATGTGGCCTTGGGCCCCCCTCATACACTATTATTACAATACTTATATATACTTATATACTACTTATATATATTACTTTATATACTTATATATACCTTATAGTCCCCCGTCATACAAATATAACGCCGGCAACAATATAACGTGCTATTAATAACTTACCGAGTGCTGCACTGGTGCTTGTCTTGTTTTTTCCTATTTAATGCTATAATATCATCTATGCCTATGGGTAATACAATCGGCATATACCATTGTAACTTGTTTTAGCATTACTGAAATACATAAAAAAAGATATATTATTGGTCGCGGAAGGGTTATTGTCGGAGTGAGCTGACGGCCGGGGGCGGGGACGAGGTGGCCTAAAGCCACAATTGGATGTGGATATCTGTCGCCTGCCACGTACGCGCACATACACGCACGTATGCACACACGCGCACATGCGTTGGCATTGTTTCAAATTTAGTGCTGCAAAAATAGAGAGAGCAAATTTGCCGACTAAAGCACAAATATATAATGCATGCACGGTACCTCGAATATTTTTGAATTGTTGAATTTTTGAATGATAAATTGCGTATTCGCCCACTTGTAATGTTTGCAAACATGCAATGACGAGCCATTTAAGAAATAGAAGGGAGGTCTTCTATGCAAGGTCCCTGGCATATACCAGTCAGTTCACAATCTGGCTACGTACGTTAGTGTGTTAGCGCATGTGCAATATCTCACGAGAAGAGTTATATTTTGTGATGATTATGGATTTAATATGGTCATGAGGTATCTCCGCATAGATTTCTGCAATTAATTATTATCAGTAGACCTGTCTTTATAATTAGGACAGCGCCCTAGCCTATAGGGTGCAAAACTCTTACTTCATCCCAACTCGCCCTTCCCCATTGCCTCCCTTGCCCTTCGCTCAGCTTCCTTTTTTTCTGTCTACCGCCCTCAGCTATCTTCCCTGCTTTCTGTCTTCAGTCTCCAATCCCCTCTCCCCCTTAGCAAGCAATAATATGAAGTTTGCCTCATACGGCACTGCACGCCTAACACAATGCGCGCGCATGCGCAATATCTCCCGAGAGAAATCGTATTTTGCAAAGATTATGCATTTAAAATGAGGAGTTATCCTAGCATAGATTTATATGATAACATTCTATCAGTAGACCTCATTTAAGAAATAGGAGGAAGAACTTGCATGTAAGGTACCGGCTGCGTATACCAGCCAGTACACAATTTGGCTACGTTAGTGTGTTAGCGCACGCGCAATATCTCACCAGAGGAGTTATATTTTGTGATGAATGTGCATTTAAAATGGTTAGGGGTATCTCAGCATAGATTTCCCTAATAAACTTTTATCAGTAGACCTGTTTTTAATTAGAAGAGCGCCCTAGCATGTAGGGTACAAAACACCTACTTTATGCCCTCGCGTCCTTCCCCTTGCCTCCCCTGTCCCTCGCTCAGCCTCCTTCTTCTTCTACTGACCCCATCTATCTTCCCTGCCGCCTTTACTCAGTCTCCCATTCCCATTCCCTCTCCCCCACATCAAGCTATATCATAAAGCTTTTCTCAGACGACACTGTACGCCTAACACGGTGCGCGCGCATGCGCAATATCTCCCAAGACAAATCGTATTTTGCAAAGATTATGCATTTAAAATTAAGAGGAGTTATCCTAACATAGATTTATATGATAACATTCCATTTGTAGACATCATTTAAGAAATAGGAGGAAGACCTTGCATGTAAGGTCCCCGCTGCGTATACCAGTCAGTACACAATCTGGCTACGTTAGTGTGTCAGCGCATGCGCAATATCTCACCAGAGGAGTTATATCTTGTGATGAATATGCATTTAAAATGTTTAGGGGGTATCTCAGCATAGATTTCCCTAATAAACCTTTATCAGTAGACCTGTGTTTTTAATTAGAAGAGCGCCCTAGCATGTAGGGTACAAAACACCTACTTTATGCCCTCGCGTCCTTCCCCTTGCCTCCCGTCCCTCGCTCAGCCTCCTTCTTCTTCTACCGACCCAAGCTATCTGCCCTGCCGCCTTTCCTCCGTCTCCCATCCCCTCTCCCCCGCAGCAAGCTATATTATGAAGTTTTTCTCCGACGACACTGCACGCCTAATACGGTGCGCGCGCATGCGCAATATCTCCCGAAAGAAACCGTATTTTGCAAAGATTATGCATTTAAAATTAAAAGGAGTTATCCTAACATAGATTTATATGATAACATTCCATCAGTAGACATCACATAAGAAATAGGAGGAAGACCTTGCATGTAAGGTCACCGCTGCGTATACCAGCCAGTACACAATCGATCTGGCTACGTTAGTGTTAGCGCATGCGCAATATCTCACCAGAGGAGTTATATTTTGTGATGAATATGCATTTAAAATGGTTAGGGGGTATCTCAGCATAGATTTCCCTAATAAACCTTCATCAGTAGACCCGTGTTTATAATTAGGAAAGTGCCCTAGCATGTAGGGTCGATATAATCATTTGTCTGATTTCAGAGATGGGGATCACTTATTCCCAAGAGAATAACCTGATAGGTTATAGATTCAAGTACCCTATAAATAGATAGACATATCAGATATAGATAGATAGAAATCGATATAATACAAGATATTGAATGAAAAGGTATTATTAGTATTTTCTTGGTTTTTCGTGATGGTTTACTCTATATTGTACATTATTACTGCTAGGTATTCAGAACAAGGTTCCCACAAATGTGAATTATTTTTCCAGACTTTTCAAGAACTTGGAGCTATTTCCAAGAACTTTCAATGACAAAAGGAATGAAACTGTCAATGACACTGTAGCTCACCACAAAAAAGGACACAAATGAGTGAATGAGATGAAGTCAGTTTTAATTGAGCAACCATCGACGTACATTATAGAAACGATTGCCATCTGTATATCGCAATAATAATTTATAAACCAAAATAAATCACAATTTGTGACGGTAGATGTCGCTATACCCGCTTTGATGTTTCTTAGCGATGGCATTCGAAATAAATAGGTTAAATGCTGCGTTCCGACATGTTTTGTAAAACTTTACTCTAATATAGACGTTTTATCGGCAGGGTGGAAAAGAAATACCAATTTTGCATTAAAGATATTGTCAATGAAATCTTGTAAAACGAACCAGACGAGTGTGACACCACAGACTGTTATCGTGTCTATATAATATGCTATATAATTGCCAAAACCTACCTAATTTAAATATAAAAAAATTAAATATAAAAACCCCTAGCCCTTATTCATTCACATACCAACAAGTGCCGCGGAGCGACAGCGCTCATCTAACGTCTACTGCGGTGACTCTGTGGTGGAGTGGTGGGCTTCTAGTAAACCCTGTTAGTCCCAAATGTGTTCACATACACGCCGAAACAGTGGAATGCACAGGGATGGTATCAGGAACCTTCTAAAAGGAATGTTCGTTGGGATCGTTATGAAACTTGCCACGAGATGGCGTGTACGTTTAAGTGTCTTCAGATTAAAGATGGAAGCTCCCATCGTACGTAGTAGCAACAACTATTTGCAAGACAGAATAGGTAAGCACTCAACCATTTACCTACGCAAGCCTACAGGCTGCAATAGAGAGCTGCCACCTGTAACCAATTAACGCAGACAAAAACTACACAGTACCACACCACATGCACTGCGCAGTGGCATACGCTTACATTAACAGTTTACTGACGAGTACAGAATGCCATAGAAATGATGCCGATTAAGGGCATAAACCTTCTCAACCATTTAGCTTTGGAAATTTCACTGTGACATTTGTCAGCCTCATACATGCCAGGCATCATGTATAGAATTCTACTAGCAAACCGGCAGTCAAATTCTTTCTAAGACAGACACGTAAACAAATCCATGTTTAACCCTCCCTCTTGAGCGGTCAAAAGGTTATCCACAGCTACTCCTCTCAGGTGTCAGCAGAGGCAGAGTACATTTCATGGTCCTTTTCAATAAAGCCGCATAAAAATGCCTGAGGAACAAAAAAGTTTTCCAATCGCTCCGTCAGACCATGTCTCAGAAAATGTCTAAAATCTGCCCTGTGCCCATTGACCATTTGACTCCAATATTCGGCACAGTGATGGCTTTTCCTACCATGATGCTATACACCGACTATCACGAGCCTATGGTCGAGCCGTTAGATTTGTGCCGCAAATTCTGAATTTCCTCCCTATACCTTAAGTTAAGGAGTAAATGTTCCCCCTTCTTTTACACCTCTTGACCTTTGACCTTTGACCCCCAGCTTCGACATCCCAACTCGTTTTCGGATTACCCCCCCACGTCCCGAATATCGTGACCGTACGTCGAGCGGTTAAGATTTGTGCCCAACTGTTGACGGACGGACGGACGCTCGCACGGACGGACCGACGGACGGACGATCATGCGATTCTACAAGCTGAATCTGACTATGTCAGATGAGCTAAAAATGAGCAAAATCCGTTGAACCTGAACTGACTAATGGCAATTCCCATTTTTGCCAAAAAATTGCTGTGGCTCGAAAGTACGTCGACTGGCGTGCTCCAAAATAGGACGTTCAATATGGGAGCATAGCAGTAACAACTATACCCAATTTCAAACATGTGGGTCAAACGGTTCCTGAGTTATCGTTGACCGTAGCCAAACGTTGACGGACGGACGGACGGATGGACGTACGGATGGACATACGTACGACGGACGACGACCCATGGCAATAGCTCAGCTTGACGATGTCAAGGTGAGCTAAAAATTAAGGACTTTCAAGGACAAAGGACAAAATTCAAGGACTTTCAAGGGATGTGGGGACCCTGTGACATTATAGATAAAATAATTGACAAAAAAACTAACTGGTATTTTATGGTCACCCAAGGAAACTTTATTTCTCACAGAATACAGATAGGGTGATATATGTGATAGACTAGCACTTCCATGAAAGTTATTCATCTTGGTTATAAACTAAATTCAATGCTAAACTGATTAGGAACCAATTCAGTATCGACTGACCAGGAAGATTCCTAAAAAGAATTCAATCATTTGCATTTTGCCAGACCTTTTCTTGTTTATAAGTACTTGCTACAAATTCATACCTCCTAGAAACAAGCACCATTTAAAATTTGCTTTATTACGTTATCGCTATTTAATTATCGAAATAGCTTTTCAAAAGACTTGAGTAACCACGACAAAACAGGAACTGCATTAACGAATCCAAATTGTACACTACTGTAGGTAACTGTATATGAGTATGGGAGGAAAATCGCAAGCAGTACATACTACAAAGGATTGGTGGGAAGTTGGAAGAGAAGGGATTGCAACACTAAAGATAGAGCAGTGGGCAGTGACCAGGGAGTCTCTCTCAAGAAAGGGTGCTAATGGGAATCCAGTGCTCTTGCACTTCGCTTCTAATTATGTTTGCAACTTTACAAAAATAAAGCTCCATTTCCCACAATCAAACCACCAATCACTGACACCAACATGACAATTTTTATCCAAAATTCTCATTTTTTAACACTAGTGTGAAGAATTGAAGCTACAATACCACCCTTGGAAAACGGAACATTTTTAACTGCACTGCAAAACAATATTGTGTTACATATGCTCACTGTCTCATCAAGTTACAAAAATGGGACAGTAACGACAGCAGCATGAGCAGCAAATGCCACAAGAACAGCATTGATTAAACTGGAAAGTTATACGTAGTATCATTCAACGGCTTTTACTCTATGTGATAATATATTGTTAGTGGTAACAACTTACACTCAGCACATTAGCTACAATGTGTATACGTCTGCAACCGAATTCCTAGGCAAAAAAAAACACCCGCGTAGTTTACCACAAATCGCATCTGGCCTCACCAAGCCCTCTCGTAGTCCTACCCCACCTTCCGTGATTGCAGACTCTTGTCAATGAGCGGCAGCATACGTTCCAGTAGACGAAGCCACACGTACACAAATGACACAGAGTGCGGCGTAGTCGGGGAGACACCATGCACGCATTATATCGCGCCGAGTGTCGCCGGCACAGATCTAACGACGCATCCTAACGCGTACGGCCGCCCCCTGAATTGTTGCTGGACATATGTGACGCGAGGACGCACAGGGAAGGGCATTGCCACATACATGGAGGGAGGTCTTCCCTACCACCTACAGAATTGTAGAGATTCACGCGTGATCACACAACGACGACAAAGAACACCTTTGAGCAGATTCCACTGATTTGCGGCAACTGTTATGGGCCAGCTGTCCTGTTCAAGAGCACACGTGGTACTGATTACACTGACAAGGCAACGAACGAACAAATCCATCCAAACACTGCAATACGATTCTCTTTCAATTGATATTAAACCATGAATGAGCAGCGAACAAGTATGAAAACGAGGGAACCAGGTACGCATTTAAATTTTAAAGAACTCGCGCCCTAGACAACTGCTCCCACAAAATCACACATCACCCAGTTCAGAATATCAAGCTACGTGCCCAGTTCCTCGGAGAATAATTTTTCTGGCGATCTCCAACTAAATGTGTTTACGATGGTTGCTGCGCATCTTTTATGGAGGGTTTCTACTGCTGTTTGCATTCTGCAGGCTTCTGGCCATTCGCCTATAAAAAAAGAAATTAAAGTTACTTTGGTAATAATACATCTTAATTAATTGCATCTTGACACACTAACAACAATTACGGTGACAATAGACATTACGTGTTGCCAGAGCGATAGAGTTCGAAAGACAATGCAGACATACCTGTGGGTTAAATTCTGGGTCATTATCATCGTCCTCTTCCTCACCCTCCTCACCCTGAAAAAATCACAATGAAAATATTGCTAAGTAACCTGCTCACTACATCTTTCATCCTACAAACTTTTCATCATAAAGCTCTCTTGCTCTCTTTCTGTGTCTCGCTCTCTCTCCATCTTTCTCCTCCTCTCACTCTCACTCCCTCCCTCCCCCTCTCTCTCTCTCTCTCTCTCTTTCTCTCAGACTGTTATAGGAACATTTCCTCCATTATTTCCTCCAACTCCAGTACACTCACACAGACATACCTCCTCTTCACCCTCCTCCTCTTCAAATTCCTCATCTTCCAGAGCTTCGCCGGTGAAGTACAGCACCGCTCTCGGCACTATCCGTTCCCTGATAAAGTGGCCTATCTCAAAGTCGGCTCCTAGCAACGCTTCAGTCTCCTCATCCTGTATAAGGAAGCAGATCGGACAAATTAAACCTGCCAGGGCCTGACATTAAGGACTACCCGATTGCCCGGGGCAAGTGGAATGGACGTTCGGGCAACTGTAGTACATACGCACGTGAAACAGTGTATTACGGCTAGCGCAAATAGTGGAGTGTCTGTCTGTCTACGAGCGAGGATCTATTGTTTATATTACAATGTCAACCAAAGAGCTTATAATGATAATTAGATGATATAAAGATCATTATAAGCTCTTTGTGTGAACCACGAGTGCGAAGCCGTCCAGCCGGGGTCCAGGGTTCGCGTAAGGGCCCTGGATGCTGCTCAGGGGGTTTGAGAAAGCTGCCCGCGAGGCACGCGTGTATAGCTATGCACATCGACGCTGGCTGCTGGCAGGGGCTGCATTGATTGAAGTATGGGGGGGGGGCACGATTGTTTCAGCGTGGTTCTAATCACTACTAAAATGTGACATTGAGGCATTGCTGGACTATGAGAGAGCGACAGCAAAACTCTTTCCTTGAATTGAGGAAAAGGCTACAATCGGGAATGATACAGCGGTGCGCATGCAAAAAAACGGTGAATTTCATGATCGATTTCCCATGGATTACCGTTCTATATCCTACGGTCGTTGTCTACGGGGTCTACGTAGGCACACCCGCACACACCACGCACCACGGCGCCGCACGCACGCACGCACGCACGCACGCACGCACGCACGCACGCACGCACGACGCACGCACGCCCACGCACGCACGCACGCACGCACCACGCACACACACACACACACACAGGCACGCGGGCCGCAGCGCAGGCAGCAGCGCACGCAAGCACGCGCACAGGGACACACAGGCATGCATACAGGCACGCGCGCATGAATCAGAGGCATGTCACTTAGTCAAGTGTTGTCAATGATGGCCAGCAGGCAAACGCTTTTCAAGTTTGCCTGACGTCGTCGGGAAAGAAAATGAAAATGAAAGAAAAAGTCAGGTGGAAAACAAAACATATTGAACAGAAGAGAAAATGGGTAAACTACACATAATACAATATCGATTTTCGGCGCAAGTGAGAATTGACATTCGGGCAAGTGAAAATTCAACCCAACTTGCCCAAATGGGCAAGTGGGTTGAAAAATTAATGTCAGGCCCTGCCTGCCTGTGGCAATGGCAGACTAGTGGGAGGCCGAGTTCGACGAACGGCGAATTGGCAAATTATACAACTACGCGTCGTTTTTACGCGTCGTTGCAACGTAAATTTGCAGATTCACGGGAAATTCTCGTTGGCATTAGAGCCGATGGCTATGACTCACCACTTCGGCATCCTCTCCCTCCGGCACGTCCGGTGGCGAGAAGAAGTTGAAGAACGAGTCGTTTTGCACGGTCTTGGTGATGAAGCGCGTCTGACTCTTGCTCTTGTGCTTCTGCTTCTTCTTTATCAGCTTCACCGTGACATTCTTGCCCGTCTTCCAGTCGATCTTGCAGCTGCGACCGATAAAGGATAGCATTGCGATATTATTAATTATTGTCAATTATTTCTTAATTAACTATTATTTATTATTATTTTACTAATCGATTTACAATGAATTAATGAAATGCGAGAAAAATCAATTCGATTATACTGACGGCACCCATGCACTGTCACCGTGTGGCTAAACTTTAAACATTGCACGGAAGCTGAATACTTTCAGTCAGCAATAAAATATTCTTTATTCTAAATAAATAATATCACTTCTACGGCAGCATTTTAGTAGCATTTAAAAAAAAAAATTTTATCTTGAAATTACGAAATAGTATTTAGTAATTACGAAATAGTTTCTCGTAATTATGAAATATTATCATGTAATTACGAAATAGTTTCTCGTAATTACGAAATAGTTTCTCGTAATTATGAAATAGTATCTCGTAATTATGAAACAGTTCCTCGTAATTACAAAATAGTTTCTCGTAATTACGAAATAGGCATCTCGTAATTACGAAATTGCAAAATACTAACACACACAAAACAACAAGAAAACCAACGCAAACCAGACCCCTATATTGTCCGCGACGAATCTGCCATGGGAACGCAGCTGAACGCCGACTGGATCAAGAATCTTCAATAGTATCCTAACTTCTTCCAAGGAAACAACGTACCCTCGCTGTACACATCAGCGAAAAAAATACACAGGAGCAGCGAGCGATTTCGCTGCCCAGGTCAGCTTCAAGGTGGTCTCTGGTAACAAAAACATTAGAGAGCGAAAATTGTGGAAGAGTCTATGAGAACAAATCGCTCCGTGGCTGTGCCGGCAAGCGTCTTGAAATTAGTTCGCGACCCGGAAACATAAGGACGAGCCAACCAAAGTTTATTTTCACTTTCCAGCACCCATCTTTATACGAAACTGCCGTCCTCTATACCGTGAACCATCCTGGTCCGGAAGCTTTTAAACTTTTTCGGATTCATTACAATTTCTGAAATACTGACGTCATAGTATCAGCATTAACGGCAATCATTTAGCAAAAAGAACTCTGTATACCGAGGAGCGCGAAAATACACGCACACTTCTAAGACGTAAGACGGGTTGTTCTTTTATTGGCAAAATATCCTATGAGCAACTAACGGGAAGATATTTACTCAATCGCATGATTTTGCACAGGAACAAACATGAAAGTCTCGCACTAGACAGTCAAGGAAATGTTGGCAGCACTCGCCCCATCGACTCTAGTCAGCCCGCGTTTTTATGACCGCATAACACATAGTTTATATTAAGACTATTGTTTATTCAGTTTAGATGTTCTCGATAGCCACATTGTTATAACTGTACAATATTCTAATAAGATTCTACGAGAACTACCCTTGTTATTTATTGGATTGCGCCAGCATGTACAAGCGGAGTGTTTGAATAAAATGCATCATATTGGGGTACGTGGATTCGGAGGGGAGGAGCAACAAACGAAAGTAATAAAACTTGCCAGAACATCTCCGGTAGTAAATAAATTGACATACAAGGTTACAAGTCGAAGTCATATGTGGAAATGATGGATACCAGGTAATAAAATGATGATCGAAATGTGAATTTGGTTTAACTGATTCGTCTTAACAGCGTGATAGCTCATGATACTGGTGCGTCGAGCAGTAGAGCATTGATTAGCTAGAGGGAATGAAAAATAGAATATTAGAGCCATTGTGCTATCACAAATCATAAATATTTAATAGTGATCAAAATCCATGAGCTATTAGAAAAATTTATGTAGCTCTGCAAACGCTAGGATATGCTCACACTGTCAAAAGAAAAGGACGTTAAGAGTCTCTTTTTATTCATACAAAATATAAAAAAGCTCTCGTAAACAAAAAAGTAATTTTTAGGCTGGTACACATCTAAGGTGCATCCACCTATAGCCATGCAAGTCCCCACCTTCCCCTAACAAGCCTTCAATGAACAGCGAAAGCTCTAACAAATCAAATTTGAATTCCCTGCGAAATAGTCCAAGGGAACGTAGTCTACGGTGTAATGTACGTTTGCTGAAGATAATATCGTGCCTGGTTGCTAACATAGCAAGGATTTCATCGTAGCTAAGCCCTACGCCGAAATAGAAGTGGACTAACTGTTCGTGCATCGTAACAAACGACGGTAACTCAAGGAGAGCGAACTGCAAGATGACTGCGATTGCATTGAACTGCCCTTATTCAAGGAACTATTTCGTAAATACGAGAAACTTATTTTGTAATTACGAGAAACTATTTCGTAATTACGAGAAACTTATTTCGTAATTTCGAGATAAAAATTTTTTTTTTGTGGCACTAAAATGCTGCCGTACACTTCCAATGACAAATCTATATGGAACTAGAGCACTCGGAGAGCACAGACCTCCGCCAAGGCAGCTGAATTCTCTCAATGTGAAATTATTTATTAATTAATTAATTCATTAAGTGGAAAAATTAATTAATTAATTGGATCCGGATCACCACCAAAATGTAATCAATTCTAAGTTACCCCATTTCTGACCTATCCTGGAAATTTTATTAATTAATTAATTAGTTAATTAATTAATTGGATCCGGATCACCACCAAGAGAAGTCAAAGAGAAAGAGCAACGTACTTCTATTTATTTATTTAATTAATGATTTATATATATATATATGCGCGCGCGTGTGTACAAAAGAGCAATGTTATTTGCATAGAGTATTGATTATGAGCAAAGAATTGTAACGAAGGTGGATAGGGGCTGCTATGGATACATGGCTCATGTAGTTGACATATAGGTCGTGGGGAAGCGCAAGGACTCGTGAATAAAGCTATCCGAAGCTACCACGCATGTCTAGCTGAAGCTGATAACGTGGACGTCAGCAATGGCGACTACTGAGCATACCGAGGTCACACGGACCTTTATGCACATTCAGTTGCATGATGTTATATGTATGTATTTTCCCCAGACGTGTGTTTAACTGTACAGACATGCGCGGCGAGACACCAAAATGAGTTGTGGGTTATCGCATATATCCCTAACCGAATATATTAGTTGAGAAATACGTTATTTGTGTAAATTCATCGTCGGACTCAACAGTTATTAGAGCGCAACCCCAAAAACGCATAAAAAGGAACAAGGTATAATCATAAATAATAAAATATTTGCATGATACGAAGACGGTAATACCAAAATCTTGTTACTACTATACAATTTTCTGTCACGTACATTCATTTCTATATAAAATGCCTTGTAAATACCTTGTAATGCATTATTTTGCTCTTCAAATTTAGGCAAATCGAACTATATGTTGAAGTGGAGTTTACGCTTCGCATTAATTGTACCTATTTGTGAACAATTTAACTGTACTAAAGTTCTTAATAATTATACTTAGAAACCACGCCTTGCTGCTTCCGTTTGCTGCTTGCTTGTGCCTGCGTGTGCCTTAGGGAGATAGATAGATAGATAGATAGATAGATAGATTGATAGATAGATATTCGCTGAGTGCGAGCGTGCAGGTAGGGGAGGACTGTGGTTGCCCCTTAGCCTGTGGTCTGGTGGTTGCGTGTTTGAAAGTCTACAGCCAAGCCAGCGCACCTAGCGGAAGTGAACTGAAACGTACATGTTCACAAACCCACAAACCAACACTCAAACACACGCCGGTGAAAACATAACCTCCGCCAAGCCTCTGGCAGAGGTAAAAAGGCTGTTGCTACTTTAATAAGCCTACTGCCTGCAGTTATTGCAATAAAAGCTGAAAATCCGGACCGACCCGATCCCCAAGTAGTCCGAATTTTCAGACTTCTACTGCGTAGCCAGTTAGCACATGATGCTACGAAGTTTATTTGTTGTGAACAATTTTTTCTCATACCCTTTGCACTTGATTATCTCTGGACCCTCAAATGAGAATGGACTTTTGGGATCTGGCTGGCACTTCATGATGTACTGTTTGGTGAGAACTGAATTCGTGAAGAACTCATTCGGCGTGAAGTAGAACTCTAACGTGAAGCCCTGCAAAGAGTCGGCAAAACCACGTGATCAGTCTCAACGCGAAAACTGCAACACGAGGAAGCTTAAAAATTACTTAGCGATAGCTAAGTTTACCCCAACATGTGGGTCGCCAAACTGTCATTCGCTTTAAGTCAAGGACTCATCAGATATTGTTACCACCCTACTAAACTGACTACGTATCCACAGACACATAGGTGCAATTAATTAGTATTGCCATTACATCGTAACTACATCTATTCACATTCTGACATTACGATCCCGTTTAAAGACCATCCCGATCCACCCGCCACGGGATCGATGTTGTGAGAGGCAACCCTCCTCTAATCTCACCATGTCCTCGAATTTCACTTTGACATCCTGTAGATGCTTAAGGATCGGCTCGTCATGGTCCTGAATCATCTCAGAGGTGATCTCAACATTTTTTAGGATCGTCAGCCAGAACTCCGGAATGCCGCTTGGAGATTCCTCTGTGTGCGCACACACACAAAAAAAATGTAAAGACCATTTTTGAGGCACTGCGGCAAGGGGGCCAATCGCAGCACTCACCCGTCACTGCTGTGGTAAAATACGATCCCCGCAGCACTAAAAATCAAAAATTCTGGCAGAGACCATGGACTTTAGTCCATAAATTTCTCATTCACATGAACTCGCATTTGTGACAATCGTTAGAGGTTAAGTCTCTTAGGGACTTCTTGGTTTAAGCGCATGTCTATTTGACAGCATCAGATTAGAACATTTTGTTAACAAGTGCAGTACCTACTCTCCTTCCATACCACATGTAAGATTTTCTGAATCTCATATATCCCAGATAAAATATCTCCCAAGTTTTAGCACATGAAGACACTTCAATTTTAAAGCCTAATCCACACACTCTGGCTCCCATTTTCTTCGCCTAAAGATTTGCTAGTAATGCAGATGGCTACGAAGCCATTACCATTGCCACATAGTCACCAACTTTGCTACCAATAGCAATCTGAATATTCTTACCCTCCTTCTCTTCCTTCACCTTGTCCTCCTTCTTCTCCTCAGAATCTTCAATTGCGACCTTCTTTTTCAAATCGTCCTGTAGTGTGAGATGTTGAAATTAAAATCAATGTGGTAAATGCGGTTTCCTTCCAACTACTGCTGTGTTACTGATATTACTATAATTATTAATTATAGGATCACATATAGTTGAATCTAACAAATTTTAAACGAAAACAGGTACGTGCACACACACACAGATATGGTATTCGTGCATATATCGAACCAGGCAGCACCACATTTAATGACTACACAAAGTTAAGAAAAATGTGCAAACTTACACTTACAGCGAGTTCATCTTCATCCTCGGAAGGCCAATCACATTCCTCGTCTGCAGGCTCCACGGCTCCTGTCACCACCTTGCTCCTCTGCAACAAACAAAAAAATTGTCACAGTACACTGCTATTTGGAACATTTCTAGGTTCATACTTTGTAATGTAACATCATAAATTATATTATAATATAACTTTTATAGTAATAGTAATACATTAGGTGCTGCTACAATAAATAGCCGCCGTGATGTACAGCAAAAGAAGGTCAAAATCGGTGGTCGAGGATACCCAGGACATGATAAAAACTGCCAATAATGTTGTGCCTGTACTAGATAATATCCTACCCAACTTCGTGTTTGCAATAACTGGCGTCACTGCCATTTGTTGATTATTAGGATAGATCAGTTTATTCAAATAGCAGGATTTCTCACAAACCTTGTCGTATGCACGAGTCTATATCAATAGATCGTGATTACGTATACATGTGTAAAAATGATACGGGCTGACACTGGTTGAATGTTTAAGGCAACTTTTGACTCAATGTTCACTGAGATACACAGTGAATCATAGGCAGACTAAGGCAAGTAAATGTGGAATTTGGCTCATTTTGGCATGCTATTCCCCCGATATTATGTACTGTTGGTTTTCACAAACAACAAAGCATTTATTGCCTGTTTGGTCAGCAAACAACTTTGCACAAACACGTTGCTTTCGGAGGGCTCACCTTTTCGAAGAGGGGCGAATACAGAGCGGCATATTTCACTTCTAGTGCATGGACCTCCTCATAGAACTTAGCTTCAATGTTCGTGCACTCTGCCTGTAGTTTCTTCAGCGCTTTAATTCGCCTCTTCACGACTTTTGGTAGACTGAAACGCACGCCAACCATCTATAAAGTTCAACACACAAGCCAACATGCTCCGTGTCCCAGAACAATATGGTCCCACTAATTCTATAGCACCACCTCTTCACGTTTCAAAATAAATATAGCAACTGCTGACGAGTGGAGTGGTCACAACAAACAAGTTCACAAGTTAGTACACGGTCCAGAATAACTGCAGGCAATGCACAGCACGAAATGCGAGGTAAAGGTGACGTTAATTCGAACACTATTAGCGACTAACACCGTCTGCAACACAGCGATTTTCTCAACAGCAACCTGGGTGGCGCTTCGCATAAATCTCCGATCGGCGCACGCCTACCTTTGTATGTAGCCGCTGGGCGTACCAACCATGCTGCCCAGTCGTTCCTGCAGAGCCGCTAACACCTGGGGATCCTGCAGGGCTTTTGAGGTTAGCTTGGCTGTTTCCGTGGCGTCGACCTCCTCCTCCGCATCCATGTCCTCGTGGGCAGCTTCCACATCAACGGGGCTACAGGCACGGTGCAGGGGAAATTACACAGACGTGTAGAGGATTGGCTTCACACATCTCATACTCACACTATTCGACTCCTACTTCATAACTTCACTGGAATTTGGCACTTGCCCATAAGATTACAAAGTGCTCAATCATGATATTACCAATCTACCAAGACAAAGTATCTGGGCCATTCCATAACAAAATTGGATAGTCAAAATATAAACATTAACTATTTTATCTGTGTTTTTTTGTGTGATGAATAATATGCTAAAGTTGGAAGAAATATTACCATAACGATAAAAATTAATTTTGTCAAATAAAATCAATAAAAATCACATATCTATGCAACTGACTACAACTGATGAAATGAATATGGCAAATATAATTAATTATTAACAACTATACCTAAGATAACTATACTCACTACTTCTTACTTACTTTTCATCTGCCATTTCTTCTGTGATAAACTGTCTTTTAACTAAGAGAGATGCCTAACCTAGAAAATAATAATAGTTCATTGCAGCTATAATCAAAACATAAATGATTACATAAAAGACACAAAACCGACAAATTGGCCGGGTTTGCACAACCACATGAAAACAATTCTCCAATGCATTTACAATGACTTTTAATATATTTAACTTGTTACTATCACCATTATAATGTGAATACAATGGACGTGTGCCTGATTTACAGTTATGTACAAGTCAAAACCTAATAATAGTATATTGTCCAGTACTGTCTAGGATTACAGTACATTTTCCCAGTCTTTTTAAAACTGGAAAATACTAATTCAGAATTCTAGGACTTACTAGGCTTTTCACAACACGTACGAACCCTGCACAGCACATCGAAACCCAAATGCACAGCAACATATATATGCCATTTAACCTGAATTCATACTACAAACTATATCACTACAGTACAAAGACATTACTTACAGTCATATGGCCTGTTTAGGAAATATAGAATTAAGTACTTTACTGTACCACATAATACTTTAACAGTAAAAAAATGTACAAATTGTTAGTTTAATGTAGGTGATTCTGATTATCTTGTATGGCAAGAAAAAGGAGTGGCATCACTATTAATTCCAGCCCATAATGGAAATTGAACTAAAATAGTGTATCTACTTTTATCGGGAATGAAAAGCATTTCTGATTTCAGGCAACATAACACTCCTAATGTCACAAACGTACATTGGCATACGATTGGCATTGTGTCTGAAATTGTCATGCATTGCCACATTGTCATTATGACATAGGCCTAGTGTCTAATATCTATCAGACAGTAGGAAACTCTACACGGTTTAATGTCAAATACTACAATTACGCAAGTCACTAATATAGTTTCTTTGTTGCCATCACGGAATGCAGATGCACGTCAGCAACCATAGAATAAATGTAGGAGTTATAACGGGGCACGTGTACCTAAACGCGTACGTTGAAAGACGGCGATTTTCCAACATGGCTACGTACAACATGTGACATTGCACAAGAAGTTATTAGGTTTTAAATGAGAATTGACAGATAACGTCGAATGTGTATAACCATCGACACCATAGTAACTCCATGATTGCTTCCCTTAAAATAGTGTGAGATAAATATGCATGTCGTTAGTTTTTAAGTTCATATGCTATTATAAAACATACAGCTAGTGAGCTACGACTCACCAGAAACACACCGCTGCACAGCCAAATGGCGCGAACATACAC